TCTAAAATTTCATCCCACTATACTTACTTTTTTTATCGTTTAGGAGTTCCTGAGCAACGCAACGAGTGTTGTGATGTATTTTCTTTTCTTTATCGATAACTGTTGAAACAAAAATGCTGGAGTGACTACTTTTTACAGGAAGAGAACTCGAAGTATTTTTCGTTTGGAATGTTTTCAGCTTCTTGTTGATAAGCAATAGATGTAAACATGATAAAAAAAAAAAAAGATGTATAAGAAAATACGATATTAAAAAAAAAAAATTTTTTTACAGCGTTATTCACAAGACTTCTTATTTATAACCAAAGAAACATAAACTTTGACGCGATTGGTGTATCCATTTTTAGAGTAATAGTTTAGGGGAATTAACCCGATATAGTAACTACCCAGCGTAAAACCATCAAAAGATCTCAGTCACGTGATCTCTGTTGATTTCAGCCAAAATTAAATACCATTTCAGCCAAAGTTACGATTTCAATATTGATTTCACAAGGAAAAGTGCTTAAAGTTATTATTTATTGCCCGTTAACTTTTGTTATGCAATATTATTAAAAGTCTCTTTTGATCACCTTCCAACGGCCTTCAATAAACAAAGTTTTTTAGTATAGAAATCATATCTGTGCAAGATAATTGTGCATATAGTTTCTATTTTTGCATTATTGTATCATTCAGTTCAAAGGTATGACCATAATGATATTAAAGAAATGTTTTTACGTAATCAAAATAAAATGTCTTGGCCAAACTATCTTTGAACATTCATTTTTTTTTTGATTTTCAGTTTGCAGTTATATTTTCAAAATGATAAAGGTAATGTTTTATTCGGGGTCGAACTTCTGACAAGTTTTCGGTTGTAATTGTATCGATGGTAGTTATTAATATAGGAAACATTCCTAATTTGGTAATTCTCTGACATCACGCTAGGGTGCACAATATGAGTAGTAATTTAATGTAAAATACAAAATTCCTTATATAATTTTTTTACCTTGATCTTAACAAACCACTTTAAATAATCAGACTAATGTTAATTTTTGACAAGTTAAAGATACATAATTTCCTTATCAAAGACAAATTATTTCACCTTTTGTTAAGTCTCTATTTTTTGGCATTTTTATAAATAAATTACGATTATTTTTATTGTTTAAAATGATCAATAAACATTACACAAAAGTTTTATAATAAAAGAACGGAAGGGTCCGATGATTTTTAATTTATTTGGTAGATACATTCATTTCTGGCTTTAAGGTTACTTATTAAATTCATTAATAAAAAAAAAGGTTTTATATGTAGCAACGATCGCTAGAAATTTTTAGAGAAAAATTTCTGCTAAACTATATTAAAATATGCCAAAAATTCACGTCAAAAACGTGAGGTTTTGTCACACGAATGATATAATTTGATTACACAAAAATGACATAGCAGGAAAATTTTAAATGATAACCTTATAATTATTTGTGGTTTAGATCAAAATTTAATATAAATATATGGGAAGCCTTCGATAAAAAAAAAAAGGCTCTTTTTTTTTTTCTTTAATTTAATTATTTAAAATGGCACCTCCTCTAAGTATTCACAGGGTTGTAGTTGTTTCTCTTTTTCTTCCGTATACAGTTTCTTTCGATATTGATAAAGAGAGAGAAGTTACATACTCTCCAGTTGATATTAATTTGACGGTTCCAAAACCAAACCTCATTGAAAGACTGGCGGCTAAGCGTGCTGACGGACCCGTTACCCCCAGTCAACAAATTGAAGATCCAATTAATAAGCTCTTCCCTTCGAAAGGACCTATAACTCCACCACCGGCAACTGGGCGAATTCAACCTCGTAGTCGCGCACAAAAGCCGGAGTTAGATAATAAAAGATTTTCACCTCTTCCTCTTTCCTCACGTCGTGTTTCAATTGATAGTACGAAAGTTTTCGATGAAGCTCCCTGGACTGTTGAGCCTTGTACACAGGGCAATATCGGTTTGCAAAATGCTATAAACTCTGTTGCCCATAGCTTTACTAAACGCGTCTGGATAGGAACTCTTGGCATGCCTACAGACGTGCTCACAGAAAAGACGCGAGAGGATATTCGTGCCAAAATGACGACAGAATATGATTCAATTCCTGTAATTGTCGCAGATCATGATATTGAAGGACATTATAATCAGTTTTGTAAGCAAGTATGTAAAGTAAAAATTATAAATTTGAATTTTAAGTTTTAATTTTTAAAATATAAATAAATTATATAAAACGCGTATAGGTTCTGTGGCCTACTTTTCATTATGTTCTTCCAGAAAATCCAAAGAATAAAATTCAGGATGATAAAGATACTTCATGGAAACATTATGTTGCAATCAATCAATCCTTTGCTGATACCATCACGGAGAATTATCAGCCCGGTGATATAAGTAAGAGTTTTGGTGTCATTGTTCAACATGATGATACATTTAATTTGCATCAACGATTTTAATCTATATAATGATCTAGTTTGGGTCAATGATTACCATTTATTGTTGGTCCCTGGAATGATCCGTAAAAAGCTCCCAAACGCGATGATTGGATTTTTCCTTCATATTCCTTTCCCAAGTTCGGAAATCTTTAGATGTTTACCTGGTACGTGTATAAATTGTTTAATAGGAATGTATTGAACGGAGTATACTAAATTTGTACGTATAAAGTACGCAAAGAGTTACTTGAAGGTGTTCTTGGAGCAGATCTAATCGGGTTCCAGGTACTTTTTTTTTTCTAATTATTCATTTGATATTGGTTTTATTTGTATCAAACATAACTTATAAACCAATATTATCATCATTTTACAGACCTATTCTTTTGCTCGTTATTTCCTTCAGACTTGTTCTCGAATATTGTCATTAGAGACTACTCCTAAAGGAATTCAACTTGAAAATAACTTTGTTTCTGTTGGTATTTTCCCAATTGGTATGTTTTACGTTAGCGTATATTGATCATGATATAATGCTTTAAATTAAAAGCGAATTCATTAATCCCTTGTTAGGAATCGATATTCAGGCATTAAATGAAAAAAGGTTAAAATGAAGATCTGCCTTTTTTTTACAAATTGGGAGTATGAGTACTTACTTTTGTATGAATCTAGGAAAGATCCGGAGGTACGTGAATGGATTGGGGTACTCGGTGAAAAATATCATGGTAAAAAATTAGTAGTTGGTCGTGACAAGTTGGATTATGTTAAGGGAGTCCGTCAAAAGATGCTCGCTTTTGAGACCTTTCTAACGATGCACCCCGAATGGCAAGGAAAGGTAGAGTTTTATATTGGTTCTTTAAATTATTTTTGGTTTATTCATTATTCATGGTTCTGACTTATGTTATCAAATTCGATGTGATAGGTCGTTTTAATTCAAGTGGTGCTTTCTACCACTGAGCAAAATGAACTACAAAGTCAAGTATCAGATGTAGTTGCTCGAATTAATTCGAAGTTTAGTAACCTTTCGTATCAACCAGTCGTATATCTTCATAAAGATATTACTTTTAGTCAATACTTGGCGCTTCTTTCAGCAGCTGATATGTGTCTTATCACTTCATTACGCGACGGAATGAATTTGACATCACACGAGTATGTGATTTGTCAAGAGGAAAAGCATCGACCATTGATCCTTAGCGAGGTGAGATTATATTAGAAATTTTTCTATTGTAATATTATAATGAATTATAATTTTAAATTATTGATGTTTAGTTTGCTGGAACTTATGGAAGTTTCGGTGCAGCTATACGTATTAATCCATGGGATTATCAAGTAAGTCCTATCAACTTTTAAATATACTATTTTTAATTTATAGTATGTATGTTTATATTTTAAATTTAAAGGAATGTGCTGCAGCTATACATGAGGCTTTAATTATGAATGACGAAGATGCTACAACTAAATGGAAGGTTGGTGATTTAAAGTATTTTTTTCTGATTTAATGAAATCTAATTCATTTTATTTTTAATTAAGGAATTATACGCGTATGCCTCATTGAATAGTGCACAAAATTGGACGGCAAGTTTTGTTTCAGAACTTGAAAAGGTTCATAGTGATATGCAACGACGCTTTTCAATTCATATTCCTCATTTGAGCCCAAGATCTTTTTTGGGAGAATTCAAACAAGCTCAAAAAAGATTGTAATTATAATTAAAAATTTTTTTTTACTGTCTATATTCGTTTTATTCTAAATCTCACGCAATATTTTCAATTAGGATTTTGTTAGATTATGATGGTACGCTCGCAGCTTATGAAAAAGCCCCTAACACTAATGCTTCGACAAAACGTCTCGTTGGTCTGTTAACTAGACTTACAAGTGATTCACGTAACGTGGTATATGTAATGAGCGGAAGAACATTCGAAAGTTTAGAAGAACAATTGGGGGAAGTACCCAATTTAGGGATGAGGTATGCATTTCTTTTTATAATACTAGTTTTTGAATATTATTACGCACTTACATCTGTCTGTTTATAATTTTTTTTTAAAAAAGTGCTGAAAATGGTTCATATTTGAAATTAATCGGTGGTAAATGGGAAAATTTATTTACCGATTTGGATATGAGCTGGAGGGACCAAGTGGATGAGGTAATTAATAACATTTATGATTTCTTTTCGAGATGTTTAATTTACAGAGATAACGACATTAAAATTATAATAAATCAGATTTTCGAGTATTATACCGAAAGAACTCCAGGATCGCTTATAGAAAAAAAGAATGTGTCAGTTGTTTGGGTAAGCATAAATTCAAATTTATTCACTCTTTCATCCTTATTGCTAACATTTCATTATATGTCCATAGCACTATCGTACGGCCGATAATTCTAGTTATGGGTAAATTTCAATTAATTGAATACTCATTTGCAATTATTCTTATTGTAATTCTTTTCATTAAATTACCTTTCAATATATTTATTTATCAAAGCGCTTGGCAAGCTGCCGAATGTCAGAACCATATTCAAGACGCATTAGGAGCAACATATCCAATTCACGCAATTGCTGGAAATAAAAACATTGAGGTTATGCCACGTAATATCAACAAATCTGTTGCTGTTAGACAAATTCTTACAACAATAGAACCAGATTTTATTCTTTGTATGGGAGATGATCGAACAGATGAAGACATGTTCGAATTTGTAAATAAGTTGGAAAATGTTAAAACAGCAATAACTTGCACAGTTGGATCAAAGAGTAGCGAAGCAAAATGGTTTGTTAGTGGTGTATTAAGGTAATTATTTATTTCATATTTTGCTACTTTACTTAAAATTATACTTATTAATTTTTAAATTTATACATAAATAAACGCAAAAGTGTATTAAGTAGTTTGGAGATATTGGCTAGCAATGAATAATGACATGAACGGTTCGGTTCGGTTTCGGTTTTAATCCTCCGATTTGAGCTAAACTAGATCCGTAAATGCCGTTCAAAAGTTATAAATATAAATTATAAATTAAAAAAATATAAAAGGTAATTATAGTATTTGGCAGTTTGGAATCTTAATGCTTGCTGAAATTTGTAATTTAGATCTGGAATATGAAAAGGTATAGGATACACATTCTCCTCTATTTTTATATTTATTTATTTACTTTCTATTTAATTTTACAATATTTGGCTTCTTTTAATCAGGCTTCTGTTATGGTAATGATTGTTAAGGTCTATAGAAACAGAATATTCATTTTCAAAAAATTTTTTTTAATACAAAAATTTGATGTAAGATAGAAGATATTATTTTTCTCAAAAATTTGGAAGTTTTAATTTTTTATTTGGTCAAAAGTTCTTTTTTTATTAATTTTACAATTCATCCTTTTATAAATTTTTTTCTTTTTATTTAATTATAGCTTTTTTTGTGCATATTATTATAAAAAAATGTTTTTGTTTAATTAATATAAAGAAATAAATAAATACATTTCATTATTCTTTAATATATATATTTTTTTTAGTAATTATATATATATATATTAAATATATCAAAAATATTTATATATTTTAATGAAAAAAAGTAAAATTAAAAATTAAACTTTTAATTATATAAATTGTATATAATTAAATTTATAATTATATTAAAATTAGAAAATAGAAATTGTTATTAAGCCTAAAATAATCCACTAGTATTTGTTTTTATTTTGATTTTTGTGTAATTGTAAAGATCAATCAGCATTGACTCAATTATTAAGTAGGTGATCATTTAGACATAGGTGTAATCTTAAACCTTATACATATATAATCCTTCATTTTGTTCTGATCTAATTAAAAAAAATTTTATATTAATAAAATATTTATTTAATTTTATTATTTTTAATAAATAAGTATTTAAATTAAATTATTATTTATTTATATAAAATACTAAAAATAAAAATATAAAAAAAAATTATTATTTATGTTTAAAATCTATAATTTTATAATTATAAAAAGAAATTTAAATTAATAAAATTTGATATTTATTTAATATATATAATTTTATATAATAACTTCTTAATATTAATATTAAAAATTTTTTATTATTTATTAAACTTAGATTTCTTATTTATATTTTATAAAATTAATTAATTATACTAATATTTATAATTAAATTAAAATAATTTTTAAATAAAAAATTTTTTTAAATAAAAATAAAGCGGGATAAAATAATATTATTGGTTTTTATATCTAAAATTGGTTTTGTGTGGCCTGGCCGCCTGGATTTTTATTTTTAGAAACAAAATTTTTTAATCAAAAAAGTTTTACACAGCATTTTTATAGTTTCACAACCCAATTACTCAAATAAAAATTTTATATGTTAAACATTTTGTACTACGCATTTATAATATAATAAACTTTGAATTCTAATATTAATAATAATTTTTTGATGAAAATAAAATAAAATCCGTTTCAATAAATTTTATCATAACAAATGTGAAAAACGAAAATATCAATAAAAAATGAAAATATCATTTGAATTGGATAATCAATAAGATATCTTTTATATAATCATTAATTACTAACTTAATCAAATTAATTGCTAATTTAGAAATTCAGATTTATAATAATATGGATCTTGCATTATAAATTTGAGATATTACCAGCAATTAAAAGATTTTGTATGACTTATCGACTTTCTCTTTTGACTATACCCCAGAATTTAAAACTCGTAATGAATCTTTATCACGCAAATTTAATGAAATCATATACACAAGCTAATAAAAATAGGAGTAAAAAAACACATTAGAGAAAACTTTTTTTCAGCTTCAACCTACCTTTTTTTGATCTTTGACAAATATGCTACTTACAAATATTCATATCTCTAAAGACTCACAAATTCTTCATAGGTGGTACATCCATCCTATTCCTTATGAAATGACAATCAAAGATTTTTTTTGTAAAGCTTGTAACTAAAGAACTATTGCTCGAGTGCAATATTGCTGTGACAAAATTCTGAAGTAGTAGAACATATCAAGTTGAGCGAGACACCAGTTTCAGTTGTAATCCAAGTTAGTCTTAATTGTGATATTATAGAACTTACAAAAAAATGTAGGAATACATATACATTATCAGCTTAAAATCGACAATGATGCAATTTCTGATATTGTACTGTAGCAAGATAGCTTTATAATTCTAATGCAAAATGCACATCAAACTCAGTTATATTTACCAGCTTTTTCACAATTAGACAGGGCAAATCATAAACTAACATTACGAGATGATCTTGTTGATTGGATTTACCATCATAATGGAGGATGGTTTACCCAATCTTATGTTAATACACAAGGAAAATAATTTATTATTAGTTTAACAGAGACGATTTGGTATGTTGATATACACAATTACCAGAAACTTAAAGAACGTAATTATCACATACCTAAGATTTTTCTTGAGTTTTTTGGCTGTGTAAATTCAGAATCATACAAACAATCTCGAAAAACCTTTGATGCAAATGAACTTAATTTGCATTGTCAAGCTCTTATTCTATACGTTACATCGTCATGGATGTTAATGGCAAATTTTGAGTGGCTTTGTAATGCATTTGATAGTTCATTATTGCTATCTCAAATTATGTCAGATTTTTGCAATGCCAACATGATATTACCGTTGCAAACCATGCATCAGAAACTTTTATATAAACTATTGATCAAGCTACAAAAATCAAGGTTCATAAGCAAAATATTTGGGTAACAGCTATTGATAAAGCAAAATATAGTCATCTTGGACACTTGCTTACCAATTTACCACTGTGAAAACCAGTTGATATTGAAGAATACCTACTAATTGATCTTGTGTAAGTAAATGGAAATAATATTTTAAAGATTATTAGTATAAAAGTATAATGAAATAACTTGTATTACAGACAAAGAATGCAATACATTCAGAGTTTATCTCACGCATTTTCCTTCAAAATTGGAGAATATCAATTTAATTTTGGTAACAATTTCTTTAATGCAATATTGATATGAAAAATTGATGAACAGGCTGATGAAGAAACAATTCTACAAGAGAATACGCGAATTGTAAGTGATTTACAAGCTGATGTATCTCATTTTTATACAAGAATAATGCAAATTAACTATATACGTACCTGTGATCTACTTCTTCAAAAAGCTAAACTATCATTACTTTGAACAATTTATCGAATGTTAACAGGTGATACTTTTGCAGCTGAGACTTCAAATGAAGCAAAAATAGATGAGCGTGTTAGACTCGCTTTAAAACTCAGGGATTCAAAAATTACTATTGATTTATATGAATATAACAGTAGAAGACCTGGCAAATATAATGTCTTTTGGAGAACTGCGGCTCAGTTTCTTGCAGGAAAGGCAGCAGATGCTATAATTGCTGTGGATAAATGCAGGCATGATATAATTGTGCATCTTGCAACTGCAATCTCAGTAAATGATCTTCTACATCAAATTGAATATGAGTGTTTACCTGAAATACCAATTCTTAGTGCACAATAGTTGCGATTATAATTTTGGCCTAAGAATCCAATACGACTTAGCAGTTTGCAATTTACTGGTCAGTTACCCTTGAAATTCATGATTCAAATATGTCAACTACAAGCTTACCATCAAGATGTTCACTATGCATCACCCTATAAATATTTGCATATGTTTTTTCATTATTATAAATAAGTTTTGTATACGTTTTTTGAAATTCTGTAACACATTTCCTTATATTTTATAAGAAATTTTTATTTAGCATTTTTTTTATAAAAAAATGATGTATAAGGAATTGTTAATTAATAATATATAAAAATAATAATAAAAAAAATTATATTTTATTATATTGAAAATTATAAGGTTTTTACAATAAAATTATACGTTTTTAAAAATTAATATTTTTTTGATTAATTTATACTAAAAATAAAAGAATTAATGGATTTATTATAATTTATAAAATTTGTACTATTATTATAAATAGTACTCATGCATTATAATAAAAAAATTTAAGCCTTCTGCTTATATTTGATATAAATATAAAATATAACAGAAATATTTTAATTTAAAGTATTGCATAAGATTTGTAAAATTATGTAAATTTTACAGAATAAGGTTATTAATTTTATGTTTAGTATAGTATTTTATATTATTTACTAATTGTAATATTTAAGATTTATAATGTAATATCATGCTAGTTAAAGTATTAATCCTTTAATATTTTCTTTTCTCATATTTTAAATCTATACTTTGATAAAATATTTACATATATTAGAAGATTTTATATATTAAAAATAGATTGAAAATTGAATACAAAGTCAAGTTTATTAAGTAGTATTAAAAAAGTAAATATTAGTTTCTAGACTTTCTTTTTTTCATTTTTGGTGGTGATGATGGTCTTGGAAAAGATACTGTAGAACTATTTTCTGTATTACTATCTGAACTAATTTGAGAAGCATAATATAATAATAATAAATTGATATGCAATATATTCTATAATTATAAAAATACGTTAATTTTAAACAAGTGAAATAAAATTTGAATAAGATTTATTCTTAATAAACTCTTATTGTTAATAATATTTCAACAAAATTAAATATAATTTTTTTATTATTTGGTTGAATTGGAATTTTAAAAGTTCATAAATTGTAGAGATAATGTATCTTATCTATATCTTTAATTAGGATATTTAGATGCATCTCATTTTCAGCAACTTGAATTCCAATAATACTAAAATTATCATTTTCTAGTTTGCATCCTTTATGAACCCAATACATTCCATCATTCATCTCTCTCCAGTTTTTACCTATCATCTTCCTTTTTTG